AAGCGACAAGACGCTGCCAGGCCGACCACGGCCACCCCTCGACCCGATGAACTACACCACCCACAGCCCAAAACACCCCGACTGCGAAGCGCGCGCACGCACCCTGGCGCAGAACGCGCCATGCAGACGCAAGCACAAGCCTGACCCACCAACGCAGCCCGCTGAAGGAGACGCTCAATACTTGGCATTCATACCCACGCGTTTCGGGGAGGCTCTCGCCGCCGACCACATTGTCTTTGCTGCAGACGACGCCGCCGACATATATGGAGATAAGTACGCCCTGATTGTCTTAGGCAGGCACACAGGCGCCATCATGGCTCACCCGACAAAGCACAAGGACGCCGAGACCACCAAGGCATCCTTTCTCGAGTTTCTCGCCCCCAACGACGTGGCCACGCGCGTGCGCGCCGACCACTCTGACGAGCTACAGAAGGCATACCGTCTCTTGGGACGGAGGCGCGATGCCAGCACGCCACGCCGGCCACGGACCATTGGAATGGTCGGGGCGCGCAGTCAAGTCAGTTATGCAGGGCGCCCCCGCGGTGCTCCACAACTCTGGCATGGGGCATGAATGGTGGAATCCCATGGAAAAAGGCCACGCAGGCTCCGTGCTGCGGCCGCAGTAATCTCGTCATGGAATTGCGGCAGCGCGGGAACGATACGAAGAGCACACGTCTCACGAAGTTCAAGTTAGAGAATATTTCAAAGGACGCGTCGTTCCATTTGGCGCGCGTATCTATTGGAAATGCCACAATCCCAACATCGACGAGTCCGCTGCGCAATTTGAGGAGACAACACGCGAAGGCTTGTTTATGGGATGCCATCTTCATTCTGGCGGCCGCCGGCCCGGCGACAACCTCGCCGTCGGCGCGGCCACATGCGCCAAACATCTTGATGGTGAGCATTGCCACGTGCACCGAGCCAAGAGCGTTCTGATCCCGCACGGCAGATGAGTCTCCCCTGTCGAGAGGGCATCCTCCGACCCCACAATCCTGAAGCACACGAGTTGGTTGCAGTCGAGATATCTCGCCCGCTTGGAGAGTCAGCCAAAGAAGACCCAATTCTAGTCTGCCCAGCAAAATGGGACGACCCCAGTATAGTGTAGCTTCCCGAACCAGCCCTTCCCGAAGCTTCCAATTCCGGAGCACCGCTTCCCGAACCAGACCGTCCCGGAGCAACAGCGCCAGCAGCTCCCGCCCCAGAGCCCGACTACGGGAAGCTCCACGGCGAGACCATCCCACGGCGCATTCGAACACCGCGCGCTCAGCTTTTCCGCCCCCCTCTCGATGCGATCGGGAGTCCTGTCCCAGTTGACAAGATCGACGTCGCCCGCGTCTTCGCGACTGCATCTACATACGAGGGCGAGAAGTATTTCCGCGATGCTTGGGACGGCGCGAGCGAAAACGATCGCCGTCATCTCGGCGAGCATTGGATTCGCTTCACAAGCGTCCCGAGATCGTTCCAGAAGGCAAGATGAATGCGCGGGGTCGCCAGACCCGCGTCCAGGTTGCGTCTCGGCCCGACCACGCACTGCCCGACTTCTGGGTTGCCATGTCCAAGAAAGAACGGGCGATCAAAACGCAATTTCGCTACGGACAGCCTCCGGGCACGGGGGGCCCGCGATCGATCTGCTCTTCGCGTCTGGATTTGGACAGACAAACAGGCCCATCGCTTTCGCACTACCAGCGGCGACGGCCCTGCTTGGAATACCGCGGAACGACGCGTGATCCACGACCTACACGACAACGCCGTCATCCGACATGAAAACGCCATAGTTTCAAGCTGTCTGTCGGCGGTCATGCCCACGATGCCGCGCGCGCAATGCAACCGCCAGGAGCACAGGAACAAGCTTGACATGACTCGCTGGCACCGCTCATGCCTGGCGACCCGCCACTTCACCAAGAAAGAAGTTGCAGCTGAACCACGCGCGCAAGACGCCCTTCGCAGAGAAGATGAGCGTCTGGAGAAATAGCAAATTTGGATGGTAGAGACGGTCATGGAACGCGCAGAAATTGAGGCCAACGCACGCAAGACCGGCAAGACAGTACACTTCGCTAGACGCGGTACCATCTCCAGAACTTCAGAAGTTCAAGGGCCACCTCGCGGTTCAGGGCGGCAGCGTGAAAGACGAGAGCGGCCCAGCCGTAGTCTACGCCGACGTCGATTCCAGTGCTTCGCACATTGAGGCATCAAAGCTGCGCGACGCAACTGCGCTCTTGCCCGACAACGGAAGCAAGCAAAGCGACGCCCGCGGCGCTTGTGCCCAGGCTTTGCTCTACGGCGACGACCGGATCGACCCTGCTGACGCATGGGTTGCCTTGCCCACGTGTCGTCAGTCCGCCCTTGGGCGAAGTGCAAAAACTTCGTTTGTCGACTACGCCTCGTTCTCTACGGCCACCCTTTGGCGGATGTGTTCTGGGAGCGTCACTGTCCCACGTGTTTGGGGTCTACGGGACTCAAGCCCATCCCGGGATGGGAGTGCGCCTGGAAGCACAACAAGCTGAATCTACTCTTGTCCGCCTATGTCGATGACGTCAAGATGGCGGGTCCTGAAGACCAAGCAGAAACCAGGATGGGACTTGATCCGAGACCGCGGAATGGAGATCGACCCACTTACTCCGCACGACCACCACTTGGGCCGCGGCCAGGACACGTGGACCGCACCACGTAACGTTTTCGACAAACGCATGTCTACGATCCGACCCATGCTTCCGAAGCACGACATCAAACAATGCACTTCTGCAACCAACGTTCGTGGGATAAGACACGACATGCTTGGCTTGCTGAACAATGTATTACCGATATGTGGAATGCGTGTCCAAGCTGGACGTACGCATGTGCAAACGTTTACACCGATTGGTTTGCCTTTTGAAGTCTGCACACACACAGTGCCTCCACGGGTGGGTTTGTGATACTTTGGCAAGATTTCCCTCGCGCTTTCCACGGGCGCCTCCTTCGCGGACTGCGTCAACAGCTCAATGTCGACTACCGACGTTTTCGCGGCGTCGGTGGGCCCCAACACTTTCTGCCCGCTTAGCGCTGCGTGCAAGTGGAAGACCGTCGCGTCGCGCTCTTCCACCGAGTCCGAGATCGTGGCTGTTGACGCAGCTGTACGCACCGAAGGTCTTCCACTGCTTTCCTCGTGGGAGGCCGCGGTTATCGGCTACCCGCATGCGCGGGACAGCAGCGCGCCCCTGGCCACCAAGAGGAAGCGACGCAAGACGCCTCAACGGAAGGCGCCGCCACTCGCGCTTCATCTCCCAGATGCACCTGATCGTAGCAGAGGACATCCAGGCAGCCATTGCGATAGCACAGAAAGGGCGCACGCCTGCACTTCGTCATCTTCACCATACTCGTCGCATCGAGCTGCACAGGATTACGGGGACATGCCAACAGGAGCAAGCAGACTTCAAACATGTAGGAGCAAAAGAACAGGCTGCATATATGAGGACAAAACACTTCGAGCCTACGAAGACCCACCTTTGGCAATCATTATTGGAACCGTCGCTCATTCCTTCCGCGAAAGCCCCGAATACCGAGAAGATCCCGCAGACCGCCAAGAAGGCCAAGCCAGCCACTGATGCCGCTGGCCGCTGGCCCTCGTTCTCCTTCTCTCGGTCCTTCCATCCGCGCGCGCATATGTTGTAAAGAACGCCCGTTACCACGGCAATTCGACCACCCGAGAGCTCGACCCTTGCCCCCCCAGCGCCGCTTGTCCTGGCTGGTGGCGGGATCTAACCCTGCCGAACTGCCCCAACATGGCTCGTCCTCATAGTGAGCTCCACGGCGCGCGGATCGGTGGAAACAGCTATGCGGGCGCCGATGGAAGCATCCGCGTGGGCCCCGCCTGTCCTCCTCAAGCGGCGCGCCCTCGCTCGCCAGAGGATGCTCCAATGCGCCCCCTCCTCCGAGCGGCGCCCCGGCGGAAGCGGGCAATGCAGGCTGCGTTCGAGCGCGCAGGGCGTCACCACCACCGCTGACAACGCGGCCGGCGAGGCTGCTGAGCTCGAGTCTGTCAGTCGGTCCGCCCCAAGCCTTGCTACGCCCGCCGTCGCGAATTGGCTTGCTCTCTCTCGCTCGTATGGGTTTCTTTCACAGGCCTATACTTGAAGGGGCCCTGCCACTTTAAACACCCTCCAGATGTGCCCAGAGTTCCTCTTCCAGAACATTCCTGGGCTCGGCCCCGACGGCGTCGAGTGCCCTTCGACGGAGGCGCGCTATCGGATGGGGGGCAGCATGTGGGAAGCCCTTCGAAAGCCACGGGAGATGATTGGCAACGTCCTCATTGGACACACGTCGAGTAGAACACTGGGGCATGGTGAGGCCTATTACGAGAGCAATCCAATGTCACCACTGTTGCAAGAACATGGCTTGATGTCTGTCAACTTCTCCGACCACGATCGTCCCTCGACGGTTGCATTACAGACTCGGCCGCCTGCCGCCCCGCGCATTTCCGACATGGCTGACCATGTCGGAAATAATGCCGAGGTAATGCAGAAGATTTGCTGCCGCGTGTTCCACATCCTGTCTGACACCCACAATTACGAGATGAAGACATCATTCTGGGTGGCTACTCGCGGCGGGTTCGGCGGCGAGCAGTCGCTGCCAGTGCCGGCGGCAACGCCCGCGGCTGATGGTGAACTCGCACCGTCAAAAAGTCACCCAACTGCGAGCCGAGTTGAGGACCGTGCGAGCCCAACCGTCCTCGCTCAAGCGACATACTTCTGAATCAGGACGCAGGCAGTAAGATGTGGCGATATGGTTGTGGATAATGCTAATGCACCACAACCGCGCTGATGTGCTTTTGCATCTGACCGCTATCTCAAGACGATGTTCAGCCAGCACGGATAGGCTTCCACTGCGCAGGAATATCTTTGTGTCTCCATCAGCCATGTCCTTGGGCTGGACGGACATGCTTCTAAGTGGATACATCTCTACAGCGGCCCCAGCTGCATCATGATGAAAAAGAGCATCATACGAGCTGGAAACACCCTGCAGAGGGTTCGACGACATGAACGCCCCAGAGCTGCGGAAGCAGATCGCTGACGTCTCCAATACAGCCATTGTTCCTCTCGTTTGTCATTGGATTCGCGCGTTCCAGTATCGGCACGGTGCAACGCTGGAAGATTTCAGCACCTGGATGCGCGACGACATCATGTCGTGGGCCATGCAGGAGAAGTACTGCAGTAACTTCCGGTTGAAGCATGGTTTCCCCGTCTGCTGCGACTTACAATTGTTGCCTGAAGCCGGCGGCGACATGCGCGTTGGCCCCGCGGCTGCACGGCAAAGGCACAACGAGGTGCTACGCTACAAGCTCGACATCTTTACGAACTCCACGGAGACGGCTGACCTCGAATAGAAAACAGTATCCACCGGACTCGCGAGGCCCAGGCTTGCCACGCGGCAGATAACCTTGACGGGCATCGCGATGCCAGTTGGAAGTATTGGGCGGGCCATTCTCAGCTCACGTCAAGCAGAAACACTGTCAGCGAGGCCTCAGCGCGTTTCTTTGGTGGAGTGCCAATGACATTACTTGCGCGGAAAAACGCATGAATATATGTTCCCATCGCGCTCGGCCGGTTCTATTAGGGAACTACTACGAGCAGTGGCTCCCTACACGTGACAGGGTGGTCATAGCTTTGCCTCAACATGTCAAAGTGGACATGTCTCGTTGTATCGACGTGATAGATTACTTTCGCTTCCCCGCTGTCCTGGGACCCGGCAAGGCCAAACGCTGGAGCCTCGGCGCGAGTTTCACTGCCATCACGCAGGAAATCATCGGCATGTTCACCGGCAGAGGCATCGCAGCACTACCGCTTGAGCAGTGGATCGAGACACAAGATCGCCCCCACCAGAATGCATGGCACGCTAAGCAGAACCACCACGATTTCGTCCAATTCACGTTGCAGTTCATGCATGGTGCCACGGTGCGAAACCTCAGTGCGGTGCCCATGTCTCTGGCCAGCCAACCGGTTCCATTCCGCGTTTCCCGTATCAAGCCAGTCACAGACCATCAGGGACACACGCAGGTTGTCGAGACGCGGTCCGCTCTTCGCACGGGCCTGGAGCAACCCACGCAATGCCAACGCTTCTTCGGACTAACTGGTTTGCAGACGCAGGCTGTGGGCGATGCCGCAATGGTTTCGTGGATGAACCGCGCCACGCGCGCCGTGAGATCGGTGGCCGACGCCATTCCCAGCCCCCTGCCGGTGGTCACGCCCGCGCCGAGTCCTCCTCGCGCACCAACTCTTCGCGCTCGTCTCCCGGGGAGGCCCAGAGCAACGATGCCAGAAGAGAACGCCCCTGCGCGCGCCCAGGCCGAACCTGCGGCCCACGGCAGAGACTGGGTCAACTCATACACGAAGATACTCCCAAGACTGAACGGCCCGACAAACTACATCCCACGCATCTGGGGCACACAGGGTTCGCCAGAACGCGACTCTTTGGACGGCGACGGCCGCCACGTCGCACTGGATCCGCCACGCTGCGACGCGGCTTGTACTCAAGCAGTTCATCGACCAGATCAAGCCCGTCTCCGATGTCCGCGCCAGTGCTGAGGAGAGAGTGCCCGACGAAGAGTGCATCTGCAACAACGACTACATCGCCCGATTGCAGACTTGGTTTCGGGAGCAGGCGGAGAAGAACGAGGACCACCCACCGTCTCCTCCTACAGAGGCAGGAGAGATGTTGGCGGACCACGACGCCATCGAGGACCTCAGGAAGGGGATCAACGAGTGCGAGCGGCTGCTGCCAAGGACGCTGCCGCCCACTGGCGTTCCAGGTTCGCTGAGTAGTCAAGGTCGCTCTGGACCACCGCCGCGCCCGCGTTCAGGGACGCCCCGCCAGCAGCGTGCCAAGACGTCGACGCCTTCAGGCAGGCGTGGCAGCAGCAATGAGACCCCCCGCACAACGACGCCGACGGCCACCTCCAGCGCCGGCGCGTCTAGGCGGCAAACGTCGCTGTCCCGCGCCCCCGCCAGGCGGCCGACTGGCAGCCCAACTTTTACGTCTTCGACCACGCGGCACAAAGTTCCAAGGGCGCGGCTGGCTTCGACGGCTGGACGGGCGTGGAGCTTCGCCTCGTCGCCAGGCTCGCCCCTGACATGATGCACGAGCACTACAACTTGTGGCGCAACACCACCCGTAAGATCGTCTCCAACAGCATCGACGACATCGTGGCCATGCAGCTGTTCAGCTGGAATCTCGCTGGCATTCCGAAGAACGAGGACGACTCGATGCCCATCGCCGCGGGCCCCTGCACCCTCCGTCACTGGCCGCCCGCCCTCGCGACGGCAGCCCCCGAGCCGCCGACCCACAAGCGGGCGTGCCAGCGGGCTACCGGCGCCATTCATGCAATTTCGCCGCGGCCCCATCCCCGCGCACTCAGCGGCGCGGGCTTCGCTATCGCGGAGGGCGCTTTCGCGCGGCAGGGCAGTCCACCGCGCGTCGCCCGACTGCGCGCGGCGGCGCGGCGCGCCCCGAGGTTCTGCGCGACGGGCGGCGAGGTCAGCCAGCCTATCTGGCCGAAGCGCGGGCCCCCGCACGGCGACAATTTCGCCGCGCATGGAATGGTGGGCGCCCTTAGGTCATTGGCCCCTGACTCCAGCCTGACGCACGTGGGCGACTGGAGACTCGTGATCGGAGCCATGAATATCTTTCTTTGATTGGTCGTTTGGGTTTTCGATCGCAGACGCTTAATTGGATTATTACACGGCGCGCTCTTCGCTCCGTTGCTTGCTGCCCACTTGGAACGCGTAAAGCAAGCGAGCGCGGTCATCGCAAGATGCCGCTGCGCTCCTCGAGAACGACGCGCACGCTGTAGATCCATGTCTTTTTACTTGTGGAAAGCGACGCGATGTGCGGCGCATCGGCCCGTCGGTTGGTTCGAGCGGCCCCCGAACAGACATTGAAGCCACATGTGCTTATACTCACGGTTTGATCCCGTTCAATCAGCGCGCATTGGAGGCCCCCCAGCAATGTCGACGGGATCTTGCATGCCCAAACGATTACGTGCACCGTTATTCTCCGCAGGCCTCAGGCGCAGGACTGCGCGCGCCGCGCCGCAGATCGGCGCGCGCTCAAGCTAGGGCTCGGCCCTGCGTCGATCGGCCCGCCGCCTCAGGGCGCGCGCGGCGCCCGCCCTTGGAACGCCGCCATGCTGGATCGGCGAAATGAAAGATTATGTTGTTTTGGGCGAGCCCAAATCGCAAAATCTGTCATTTCACTTGTCGCGGGTCTGGGTTGCGCCCCTGTCCAGGGCGGATGCGAGTGGTTCCATGCGTGCATCTGCGGGGGGCCCGCTCTTGAGCGTATCGTGCCTCTCTTGGGGCCTGTCGCGCTCTTCCTCGGGTTCTCCTCTTGGCTCTCCCGAGGTGCCCGTGGACTTATTGGGCCCATGTGCGTCGATGTGGAAGTTCCTGGAGACGTCTCGGCGACGGATTGGGCATCTGGGTTTCACCTGGCGCCCAGGGTCGTTTCTCGGCGCGTTCAAGACGACGTGGAACCCCCCGCAGTCCCCGGCCGCCCAGAGAGCGCCATTGGCGCCTTAAGGGTTTCCTTCCGGCGACGGGACATGGCGCCCAATTGTCGCGCGACGCCGTGCTGGGCGCCCTTTCAAATCGCAAGTTCGGTCGATTTGCGCAGTGGGCGTCGCGTCGCGCAGATGTCAGCCTCATCGCGACCAGCGATCATTTGGGCATGAGGGCCAGTAAATCAATATCTACAGGCCGACCGGCGAAAGTTGATTATTTCTGGCCCCTAGACGTGACGAGGCCGCCCTCGCGGCTGACATCGCCATGGCCACCCAGTTCGACAGCGACGTCGGCTTCGCCGGAAACGCCAGCAAGCGGCAGACCTGGAGCGTCGCCGACGCCCCGCCCAAGCGGATCGAGCACCTCGGCCTCGCGGCCGCCCCCGCGGACCCATCCGCGCCCATCATACCGAGAAAGGGCCGGGCGAAGATCGAGAACGGCATCGGCGTTCTGCACGGTATCCCGGGCAGTTTCGCGGCGCGCATCATCCTCGCCATCGCTTGCCTCCGACCTCGCTGGACCTGGGCTGCACCCTTGCTGTCTAAGTCCCGGCGGATTGCACCAGGCGCTTGTTCCGCGCCTTGCTCAAGACGCGCTGCCATTGGTGGTGTTTCGGCCGCTTGGGCCCTCCACACCAATCTGCACCCGCAGTGCTCGCAGGCCCTCCAGAGCCTCCACGCCGTCCCCCACTCCAAGCTGGTCTGGAGCGACTTCGTGCAGAACGCCATCACTGCGCACGCTGCGCCCCTGGACCTGACTTTCATCACGCGCAGCGACGACGCCCGCGGCGCGCAGCTCGAGGTGTCCCCCACCGACGACCACCGCACCCTGCAGGTGACGCGACAGGTCCGCGGCGCGAATTCCCGGCGCTTCTGGACTACTCACAAGAAGGCTGCCCATGCTCTGCGCGCGGTCGCGCGCATCCGCTGTCTCCAGGAGGTGCGATAGATTCGACTCGACAGCGAGGAGGTGGCAGCGTCGACGTCGATGCGTCGTCGAACGGCTTCATCGCGAAGTGGTACACCAAGCTGGACGACGACGACAGGAAGTTCCTCACCATCTACCGCAGTGGTGCAGCGTCAAAATCCACGCGCCGGGGATGCCCGCGCCCGCGCAGGTTCTGCGGCCACACCCAGCCGTCGTTTCGACACACGTGGCAGGAATGCCCCGAGTTCGACCACGACCGCCGTCATGTGGAGGGGCAGCTTTCCCTCCCCAACCTCTTCTGGGCTTCGCAGCCCCGAGTGACGTCATATTCTGGATGGATCACCTACCAGGCGGATCCGTCGCCCTTGACGCGCGCGAGATAATTACTTGGCAGCGACGCGCGAGCTGGTGCCCTGCATCCTTCGTCGAGGTCTTCGCGGTGAAGCAGGCATCCCCCGCCCGCTCGAAATCGAGGGGTGGCCTGAGGATCTCCTAGTGGGTCCACTCCAGAGCCCGGGTGCTCCACAAACCAGCTCTCTGATGTTGGCGGACCCACTGCTCTCATTGCCGGCCCCCCCGCTTCCGCCTCGGCACCCGCCCCCGCCGGTGGATGCGCCCGCGACCGCTCCTTTCCAGCCGCCGCCGCTATTCCCATCTTCGCCCAAAGCTCGACCTGCGCACCCATCGCGACCACCGTCGACGCCATCGGTTACTGCCGCTGCGCCAGTGGCAACACCTGGTGGCGCTGCTCCTTCAGCTGCGGGCGATGGCCGCGCACGAGTGCTGCGACCGATCGAAAGGCAAATCTGGGAATTATTGCACGCCGCGCGCGTACTGCATCCGCACAAAAAAAGAACGACCAGTATCCATGGGTTCCCTGGGCATTGCGAGGTCAGGGCCCTTGCGCCCCATGCATCACGGACCCCGACTACACTGAACACCTGCAGCACAACGACTACGTGATCGCACATGTCCCCGACTTGCAGTGTTTTCCAGATGACAAATGAGCGACGTCCTGCAACATGAACAAGAATCAAGTAGGACCCTCTCTGCTGAAAGGATGGGACTATCCATATATGTCCTCGGGCACAACGAAACAATTCAGCGTGTCTATCTCTACGGCGTTGCGTCATGGCCATGGTGGTCGCGCTGGATTGAAGTTTGTTCCTGGAGCGCCGCGTCGTCATCTGGCCGAGGTCGAACGACATTGGCACGTGGGCAGCGGTCAATGCTGCATCCTCTTTCGACCAGACCATGAAATATGGATTCCGCCGCATCGACCATGGCCCCGACCGCGAGACCGCGAACGCTCATATGAGCCAGATGCAACAACTCTGCCAACCGTGGCAGTCCCGAGACGATTCGTACATCATCGCTGTGTTGCGTTTCCTCCAGTTGCATATTGGCGACGAGAAAGCCCGCTGCCGGGTCTTCGTCAGATGCGACGATTGCAGCTCTCTCGGCCAGGACCTACCATGGGAAAACGTCTTGGCTATCAGAGCGGTCGGCGGTCAGAGTTGCGCCCGCATCTGCAGCGCACCATGGGATATGGGATGGACAAGGTTACAATGGACAGACGCAAAATACCTCCATCATGCCACCACCAGGGACGCTTGAGTGAGCATCGCGGAGTACAGCATCATCCCTGGCTATGGAGCATCGCGCGAGGCGCGGAAAGAAGGATTATACATCCCCAGCTCCTTCGTCAGCGATGACATGCCGAACCCGCGCGCCAAGCTCCCGGGCTACAAGTTCCAGCGCGTGAAGAAGTAGGTTCACATCGTCACCAACATGAAGGCAGCTATGTCAGCGGGATGCGTTTTCTGGCTGGGCGAGCAGGGCGCCATCGCGCGCCCGCAATTTGCACCGCGCAGCATTCGCAGTGCCATCCGCGCCCCGAGCGCAGCTCGCCTTGGACAGACCCACCGCTGGAAGAGATGACGGAGCCACGGAGTCAATGCGAAGTTTGCGACGTTGCGCCGGCGGCAACGCCCGCGGCGAAGCGCGCGCGCAAAGCACCACCGAAGACAGGTCATGCGCCCCCCGCCGCCGCCGCCAGCACCTGCTGCCATTGCGCCTCAGACCCGACTGCTGCACCTGCAGCGCCAAGGGGGCCCGGGCCCGCGAAGGCATCGCAACCAACGTCGCAGACGCCACCCGCCAAAGCTCCGCCGCTACAGCTCGTCGCAAGTGGCCCTGCCACCGCTGGGAGCCCTCCGCCGCCACTACCGCCCGCAAGCCGCGCAATCTGCGCCGGCGGCAATGCCTGCAGCGTCACTGCCGCCGCTGTCACTGCAGCGTCGCTGTCACTGCAGCGTCGCCGTCACTGCACGTGTCGTTGTCACTGCAGCCGCTGTCACTGCAGCGTCGGAAGCCCTCCCTGAGCCAGGCGCGCAGCATGGAGCCGCCACTGCGGGTGGGCTTCTGCCTGGCACATGCAACGCCGCCCATGGCGCCCCCCCGCATCTGCCCGACCCAGCGCCGGCGGAACCACCCGCTCCTACCCAGGTAGCGGACCCACTACACCTTCCACCAACGCAAGTCACGCAGGGGACCGCCGAAGAACTGGTAGATGCCAACGCGCGGTGGAACAGCGTGCTCACAGCAAGACACCGCACCAACCAGTGGTAAAGGAACTATCGGTTAACAGCTGGGATCGGGGCCCGAGGTGCACCATCATCAAGGACGGCGACTTCATCTAAACAAAACCGTGGGGCTAGGATGTTTGGTAAAACTGATGGATCTCCCCGCTTCCAGAACTGGCGCGGGCTTCCACTTGCGGTTCCCTTGCTCCTGCCCTTGCCTCTTTGCTTGCCCTTTCTCTCTCCCTCTCTCTTCACCGCCGCTTCGCGGCTCAAGCCTTTTC